CCTTACTTTCTTTGTTTTGTTGAATTTCATACAAAGCTACACAAGGCTTATCTGCGCTAGCCATCCTTAATTTAGAAGCGACTGACTAGAGGAAAGGCACCAAGTCACCACCAACTCTTAGGCTACTTTTTACCAGTGAAAAGTGAAACTCAGTCACGTTGTAACACCTACACAGCTGAAAGGGATTCGAACCAGCAACCCGCAGAGTGTGAGCTCATGCCAGATCCCTTATCTTGCCTTAAACAAATTATTTTATCAGAAACACATTTTACTCCTCATAACACACAAACTAATTTCTCATATTTTTCTAAAAAAAGATATCGCAGAAAGTTTAAGTCTAATGACAGAGTAAAGACATTTTAATTACAAGAATTTTCCTTTAAGATACAATTGTGTGAAAAAACTGTTATATATGCTTTAAGTTATATCTTTCAACCTATTGACAGATGTTATTAAACAGTGTCACTAACCATGTGCAAATAGATAAGCTTTATAAAAACTATGAATTATAATTATTTAAATACATTTAATGATAAGAAAACTGATTTACACTCTTCTCTGAAAGTTGTCACAATCATAAAAACTGCAAATAAATTGACACAATTTACATTCCTACTAAACTAATGAACTTTATACACCAACTTTTTCTTATCTCTGAAATCTACTTCTAAAAAAAAATCACAGTGGAACTCAGTATTCATCTAAAACATACACAGATGTTAAATTGCACTTAGTACTTAAACCTTTTTAATAGCCAATCAGGTATAATATTCAAGATTTGAGTATTTATAATGCACACACGTGACTATACTTTATAAAGTAAAGCTTTTCTTTTAGACATGTAGGCTTAATAGAGCAACAACTTGAGGAAACTGAACTACAGTTGTGTAGAATTATCTATCTATATCAGGAATAATGTGGATACAACCGTACTTAAGTCGTACTAATAGACTATTTAAAACGATCTCTTGAATAGAGATATTTACTTGATCTTTTCTTTAGCTTTACTTAGCAACTTCTTCAACACTCTTACTTCCTCACTGTGTGATTGTAACATTTCAGGTAACTCTCCTTTAGAGTTCTGTAGCCTTGCCAGGTCCCTTTCTTGTTTTAACTGAAGACGTTTCAAGAAACGGTTTTCTTGCTCCACTTCCTGTAACGTGAGAGACCATTTATATTATATATATATATAAACAAAAAGTTAAACGTTTTGTAATCTTTCACTAGTTAACAATGTCTTTACTTTAAAATGTATTTCACATAATTACTCACCTCTGTACTTAACAAAGAATTGTTACCTCACACCACTGCCATGAAGACTTTTGCAAACACAAAACAATATTTTGAACAAAGCTTCCACCCCTAACGTGTATTGCACCAGCCCTTGATATAATCATCACTAGACTATATATCCCTCCACCAATAGGAGGGTGTCACATGCTCCACGTGTGATAATCTAGCACTAGCATTTGAACAAACACTAATTCTTGATAAGGCAAAATAAATACATTGGAAGTGGGAGGTTGTGCAGAGAGGTAACTACTACATGAAATACATTTTCAGGTAAGGAAAATGTTAACTCCACAAATGTTTACTCACCTTTCTGTAGAGGGGGTCAACAAAGAAGAGCTCATTTCTGAAAACAAAACTTCAAAAACAAAAAAAAACAATGTAAGATGGGCATCACTCAATGGGAGACTAAATAAATCTGAAGATAGAAATACTCTTCATCCAAGAGAGGTGGAAGAGCAAAAGAATCTTTGTTTGGTGCTAAAGTGTCGTATAGGTGGGCCGAATGTAAGATTGTTTAAAGAGACGATCGGCTGAATGTGAGTGTCGCTAGGGCAATAAGTCAGGCCTTTATGTATTAGAAAAATACTTACCAGAATACCATGTTGAGGGATAACCCAGACCTATGTTCGAAGCAGAATACAAGACAACAGGACACGACTTGGTTCATAGTGTGGCTCTTTTTTTCCTTGAAAACTATATATGTACACTGCTGAAGTCGTTTTGTGAGAAACGCTATCTCAATAGTTGGCAAGGAACAGGGGCATATGTGCATAATACTTTCTATACTCCACCCATTCAGTGTGGATTTTGAGATAAGTATTCTCTGCGAGATATAACTGGCCACTCGTTGGGTTCTATTGTCCCTAGTACATATAATAATAATGGCAATGAGGGAGCTGTAAAAAGAAACAACAACAAAACAGTTAATATTCACCTCACTAAAATCCCTGCAAAAAATGGATGAAACCCAGATACAAACAGAACTGGCATATGATGCAAGTAATGGGACACAAACGTGTCCAGGGTCATCCACATCCCACCTGCAAGATCCAACCCTGGATCACTGATGGTGAGAAGTAAGGGATGTCATGGAAAAGAAGATATCTGGGCCATATCATATTTATCACAGTAAGTCAGAGCTTATAAGATTCAAAAACAGTAAAATTGAAGAAAGATAAGATATCTGGGCCATATCATATTTATCACAGTAAGTCAGAGCTTATAAGATTCAAAAACAGTAAAATTGAAGAAAGATATCTGGGCCATATCGTATTTATCACAGGATAATAAG